GCAGTAGTCCTTCATCTATAGCAATTGGTGATTTTAATAATGACACACGACTGGATATCGTTGTCGCTAATGCGAATGGAAGAAGTATTATTGTATATCTCGGATATCCGAAGAAAAGTTTTCTAAATCAAATGAAGCTTATAACTGGCAATGGATCTCGACCGAGATCGTTCGCCATTGGGGATTTTAACAATGATGGTCAAACAGATATTGTAGTTGCGAATTCACGCACTAACAATGTTGGTATTTTTCTAAGATATGACAATGGTTCTTTCGCAAATCAAATAACATGTTCAACTGATTTTTCTCCATGGGCGGTAGCTGTTGGTGATTTTAACAACGATACAATACTTGACATTGTCACCGTGAATCATGGCAATGACACTGTTTGTATATTTCTTGGATCTGGTAATGGTTCTTTTTCAAGCCAGAAAACGTTTTCAACCGGTTTCAACTCTCAACCGAACGCGGTTGCCGTTGGTGATTTCAACAACGACACCTTGCTGGACATTATTGTCACCAATTATGGCACAAGCAACATCGGTGTGTTGCTTGGATATGGCAATGGTTCCTTCGCTGATGTAAAAAGTTTTTCGATCGGTTATGGCTCTCTTCCGTTCTCCGTTTCCGTTGGCGATTTGGACAATGATGGAAAGCTGGATTTCGTCGTTGCCAATGAAGGAGCTGACAATCTAAAAATTTTCTTGCAGACTTGTTAATGTCGCAACTTCTACCTTGAACTTTTTTTAATTTCATTCACTGTTTCTAACTTCTATTTAGTCTCACTAATACTTCTTGTAATCTTTTCTTATTCATCTTTTGATTTCTATGCTCAAATAAACTGCGATTGAGAGTGAGTGCCTCAACCAAAGTATGACGCGTTTCTATCCCGCTTAAGGATCTTATCACACAGTGCTGACTAAGAATCCATTCAAATGATTGGGAACATCAAAAGTGTGATACATAGTCTATAATTTTCACGGCAAATTCTCGAAAGACTCCCCATCATAATAGCAGATGTCGTTACTGCAATGATGAGTGAAACAAACTTGGAGGCGTTCGGACCTTGCTTAAGAGTCTCATCATGGTGGATAAATCAATCGTAGAACAGATGGACCTATATGTCTATGAGACAAAACAACCTGCTGCTATCAACTCTTACTTTTCAGAAATTGATAAAGTCGAAAACCAAATAGCAATTTAATGAGAAAATAATATACTTTGTATAAGTAATAAATAAAGATAAATGCACAGCTAATTTTGCAGACACGCTTTGTACTATTGTCAATTAGAAAAAAGAGCGACCTATCCATTAACGAAAAGACAAGTTCAATCTGCTATTCTTAGCTTTGCCTTTCAGCAATTGATTTCCTGTCGAAAATTAAATAACAAGAGAATAATAATAGATAAATGTGCTGAACTAAATTAATTTAAAAGAAATGCAGAGTTAAGTTTGCTGACGCGTTTTGTGTTATTTATTAATGTATTGAAACGCTCATCAGGACTCTGCAGTACAATTGAGACTTTTAGGTGTGTACAGTTCGGAGGCGAGATCTTGGAATTGGATGGATTTGACTACATTTATTTCTTTTAATTGCATTGCCTTCGGTGATTTTAATGTGGACCTTGAAGAGGATAAAGCCAAAGCTGAAATGTTACTATCGTGGTCGGATTCTATGTTTCTGTGTCTATTTACTCCAGACTCTTCGACATCACTAAGAAGTGGTCGAATTATTGACTATGTGTTGACATCTGGGTTTTCTGTCTTCATCCAGACTATCGAAGAAACAAGAACCACAAGTGGTCACTAACCTGTTCTGACAGTGATTCCAGTAAAATCAAAAGAAGTTCGCTTTGTTAAAAATGTACACTGGAAGCTTTTCTCTATGTTCAGTGAATTTGTCTATCCATGGTGGGTAAGAAGGTGGAGTGTAGATCTTTTAGATATCATCTATGAATGATATCTTACATTCCTGTTTCTTCTTATGGCCAGTTGTACAGTTTTTTTTCCAATTGAAAAAACTTGTCAGTGCGGCTCCAAGAGGGGTCGAAATGTGGAATTCACAAACTCTGAGCGTTATAAATGTAATATACAGTAGTGACCAAAATTATAAGAACAGACTGCTAGTCGCCTATTCATTTCGTGTTTCTTTCTACAAATGATGTATTCGACTGATATTCAGTCTTGTACCTAGATTTCGATGTGCTCTTTCATAATATATGAAGAGTAGGTCCGCATGTCATGTGATCAGTATTAAAGAAAATTTTGAAACATTAATCATCGTTTTTGCCTGGCCAAGATTATAAGAACAGCAATATCTTTAAAGGTTTTTTTCCCACCAGTCTTCGACCGATTGTTTTCGATAATACATCAACTAATATATAAGAGCGTTGCCTATTCGCTGACACAAAGAACTTGTAAAAATTCTAATGCTTCGTCTATAAAATCAAGTTGTACCTTGCATAGGGTTAAAGTCTAAGAAAATCAATGCTTCCAAGCTAAAACTGAACTCAAACTCGTTCAAAAGTATGCCATAAAAAAGAGCGTAAAAACCTACATCTCGTGAATTGATTTCTAACCAAAGTTGTTGAGGAAAGCCATGTTTCAAAGACCTATGATACTAGTTAGACACTGGAGTTGCGCCTAAAAAGTGTTAATGATCTCTAGAAAACTCGCTCTAATGAGCTTGGGGTGTGGGTGTGGGTGTAGGTTAATTGAAGATCTGTAGTCACACCCACACCCAAAAAACTGTTTTTTTAAGGTGCGAAGCAGTTTATAGTACTGCGTCGCGAGTTTTCTTTCTTTCTTTCTTTCTTTCTTTATTTATTTCTAGCTAGACCATACGGAGATCTTTTCACATTTTGTGTCGCAATGATCTCTACAGCTGATAGTCAGAAAATCCTCGTTCAAGCATCAGATGAAAGCGTTGAGGTTGAACCGAAACCTCCTTTTTTTTTCGATTTTCGTTGCGATGTTCCATTCGCATACAAACAGGATCGAAAAAAGACAAATTTTTCAGGACTTTGATTTTTTCAAACTTCGAAATAATTAAATCATAAAAAGTTAGGCACCATTTAGTTCACTGATGTATAAAAAACAGCTGTAATCACAGCTGATGATAGATAATGAATCATATCGATAATTAAACGATCAATCGATGATGCCCTTTAAAAGACTGTTGGTAAGCTTTCATAATTCGCGCTGTGATAAATTCTAAATGACTACTTGTCAGCCTATGCTAGATTTCGGTCAGTTGATTGAAGGAAACACATCTTTTCGATTTACAACAATCGACAGAAAGCTCTCTTCTCTGTGGAGCAAAACTAGAAGAGAAACATGGTTCGATTATAACTCTATCATCGATTTATGGTTTTTTCGAAAACTCGACTGGTCCAGTTAGTCGATATTCGTGCTTCGCACTTTATTTCATGTTCTCGACCAAATTGAGATACCATCTAGTTTTCATAGTGAGGAAAAACAGGGTTTTTTAACTATTTTTTGAAATTTCCGAAGTAGTTTTTTGAATTTTTTATTTCAAAAGATTAGCTTTAAAAAATTTTAATACGTACAGTTTAGTAGAGCTCGACGAGCTCTATCGAACCATGTAAAAATATCAAAGAAAAAAAAATTCCTCCATTTCGAATTGCTGGCGCCTCACATTTCTATGGCACAAGGAGAATAAAATTTCTGAAAATTTTCTATGTTCGACAATAAAAGGTTTTAATAGCTCTTATTATATAATACCGATAGATCCAGTTTTCGATGTGCTTTAATTTGGTATAAAGTACTTTGTGGATATTATCTGTAGTTTTAGTTGTAGAGGGGGCGTATTGGTTTTGTGACACCCTGTAGTATATTTTAATTACTTATGTTATTTACATTCACCATGTTAAACCATACGTATAAAAATACAAAAAAAAACCAAACAAGACGTATTCTTTAATACAAACACCGCCGATCGACTTCACAAAAGTTATTATCTCCATGGTTTCATTCTGATTTAATTTTCGAATCTTTAAACCTATCTGATAAGATTCTTTAGCAGGAATCGAAACTGATCATGGCAGCTGTTCTCACCATCACATCCTATCCAGTTTATCTTTAATAAATATTGAATGTGGTTGTGATATTGATCTGGATAGCATTGTTACCGAATTTATATCGATAAAAGAAGAGAGAAAAAAAATATTTTGAAAATAAATTAGTTATATATTTGTTAAAGAAATCATTTCATTTTAACAAGAGAAGATGCATACATACATACATACTAAAACAAGAGAGAGAAAGAGAAACGGAAAACACATACGTTCTTATAGTTATATATAAAGGACTGGATATGAATCAAACGAAAAGAAAAAAGGTGATAAACTAAGAAAAGAGAGCATAAAAAGAACAACATAACAGTGTTAATAGCATTGATCATAACAATAAAGATTTTAAAAATTGAAAACTTATTATCATTATCAGTTTAAAAAATTTATTGCCTCTCCTAGCAAATTGAGCTTGCGTCGTCCATGCTAGTCCAAAATTAACTTTTTACTAATCACTCTAAAAAAAGCTCTTGAATTATCTCCACTCTTAATTATATAAATCAATCTGAAATCTGGATCCTCGTCATTGACAATATGTGTTGTGTCAGAAGATTGTTTTTTTGATTCCGATGTGTAGTGAATTCTTTTGGCATCGCTTTCGGGATCTTCAGATTTATAAGCTCTACACACAATTGAATTACCTCCTGATATTGAATTAAAAAATGAGAACGCAAAATTTTTATTTAACGTACTCACACGATAAATAATCGTGCCTTCCACTCCATAAAGTCCTACTTTTTTTACACACTGAAAATTCAGTTTTATTTCCTCTTCTTACACTGTTCGAGTCATTTTTGTCAATAGTTCCACAATCAAAATATTGATCATCGAAAATGAAATGATAAAAAGTAAAATTCTCTATTGCCATTTCTATTGATCTCCCATCTCTTGAGACGTCAGAAACTAATTTACTAAGTTGTCCAAAAACATAATGCTGCGGAAAAGTAGCTTGCAATGCGGTGTACACAATAGGCTTTACAGCATTCCATTGTTCATCAGAAAAAAACTGTTTAAAGTCAACTCCAAACTCAGAATCAAAAACAGATATTCCTATTCTTCGACCGACAAAATATTCAGTACCAAATACTTTTGTTTCATAACTATCTTGATTTATGCCAACACCTGAACTAATTCCTGCTCCTATTTTAATACCAAACACAGATACTTTTCCTTTTACTAACGCAACATAAAGCTCAAAACCATTATAAGATCCAATTTGAACACCTATTTGCGCTTTCCAAATTTCAAAGTCAACTGTCGTAATATTACTTCCACTATCTGAGATTATTTTAAATAGCACTACTTTAGCTTCAGCATTTATTGTTATAAAAATATCATCTTCAATTGAAATACCAGCAGATGCATACAAAAGTATATAATTTTTGCCTTCAACTGCTTGCCACTCTGCTTGGGGATTCTTTCGTAGAAAATCATAAATTGTTTCAAAGGCTTTTTTAAAATCAATTTAATTCCTTGAAGGTTTAGGCGATTCTGAGTCTCTTCTACGTCTCTATGCTTAATCTTTGATTGAGTTTTCTCATTGATTGACGATTCGATGTTGCTATTCACATAATGATCATCAAATGAATCCAAATTATGAGTTGAATCAATCTCATTTAAAATAGCATTTCTTTTATTGATATCCGACTGAACCCCTTTTCCTAAGAGATTAATCAAAGATTTATCAAACCTAAATTTTTCTAACTTTTTTAATTCATGACTTGGATTGCTGTTAATGTTTTTATAGGATGAAAATGGAGTTAACAACAATATTTGAATTGCAACTCTTGCAAATTGATAAGCATTTACGCCTGTTGGGTTATATGGCTTACCGAATTTCGATTCAGATGGTTTAAGACATTGCCAACCAGTTAAAATTGCTTGTGTTCGTGTATTAGAATTAAAGAAAAAACTATTGCCAAAATCTAATATCATAACAGTAACATCATTTTTACTATTTTTATTCTTTTGATTCACCATTATATTATCTAATGAGAAGTCATCGTGACAAATACCTAATTTTTGCATTCGATTCATATATTCCCCAATAATTTTTATTAGCTTAATTCTAGCTGCTGTACTTTTATGAAATATATTTTCCTTGTCTTGTAAAATTTTATCTAACTTTTTGCCTTCAATATAAAGCATTGCAAATCCAGCTAAATTTCCATTTTCAAATATTTGAGCTTGACATAAATTTGGCCAAATTGAAGCCAATTTATTCAATATAATCATTTCTGATCTTATTGCTAATGGATTAGGTATTTTGAATTTTTTTACAATAAATTTATCAGAATCCTTTCGTATTAAATATATTTTACCATGATATCCTTCACCAATAATTGTGGCAAAATTTCTTAGATTTTCCCAATAAAGTGTAGGATTCGATAAGACAGTTTGATATCTACTCCAACCATTATTAGTTTCTTCTCCAATAAATAAATGGTTTAATTGTTCATCTTGTCCTAAATAATAAACGTCAATAGCTTTTTGATAAGGGCGAACAGCTGCAATTCCTGAAATAGCATCAGATAATGAAATAATTTCATCTGAATTCCAAGTAAAATTATTGTATACACCATTATAATTATGATGAACACAGTTATCATTTCCAATAAAATAAACATCGATATTGTTTTCATGTTGAACCACTGAAAACTCCTTATATCGGGCAGTTATTGACATTGAAATAGATCCTCGATTTTGATAAGACCAGCCTGTGAAATCACCACAAATTGCATGACACACATGTCCAGTTTCAGCACAATAGAAAAGATTTATACAATTATCAGTTCTAGTAGCAGAAAAATTTCCATTTGGAATATTAGTACCTTCTAAAATTCTTTCATTTGCATATACCCAACCGTTGTGATCTCCTACGTATGAATGTATAATATGACCAGATTCCAAAAAATACAAGTCAATTGCTTCGCGCTTTGCTCGTAGAGCGAATAAGCATGTATGATTATATGAACGATATATTTCTTTACTTTCATATTGCCAATTTGTACTTGGAGAAGCGTGTAAATGTAAGAGAACACCATCATTTTCCCATCTTACAGCAACTGGAGGCTCAGATATCCCTTCAACTAAAACTTCATTATTATATTTCCAATTTGTGTAGTCTCCATTCCATAAATGTACTAAACTTCTGCTTTTAGTTAGAACATATATGTCAACATTGTTTTCAAATCGAATAACTGCAGGCTTTCCATAAACAGAACTCCATATAATTTCATTTTGATAAACCAATCCAGTAAAATTATTTGCCCAATAATGTTTTAGATTTCCATCTTTTTGTGTGACATAAACATCTATGAAGTCACCTAAGCGTAATATTATCTTTCCTTTTTTCCACATAGTTCCAACACGTCGCTTTCGATTTTAAAATGATAAAAAAATGTCAAAGCTGAAATTAACTTTGATTAAATTATTTGTCATTTTTTAAATAGAATTTACTCTGTAACTATTAAATATTCCGTTATATTAATAATTTCTCCATAAAGAAAATATCGAGTTAGAAACAAACAAAAAGTATTTCTAATATTAACAAAAGCACTCTCAAAATAAAAAGATTTAATGAAAACACATCTTTAAAAATGTTTTCAATGCAATACTAATGTATAGTGATTTTACTAAACTAAATGATTTAACTTTTTCTTATATAAAAGTCTACACTTAAAAAACTACCGCTATTACACTATGAATATGCAAATATAAAATAAAGAATGTAAAGTGATGAATACAACTTGAGAAATAAAACTAAATTATAGAGTCTGCCGGAGTAATTCTGATCAAAAATCAAAAATTTCATTTTATTTTTCATCATTCACATTTATTTTATGTAGTAGGAATCCAATTTTTGAATCATAAGTAGAACAAAGTATTTCCTTTCCATTGACGAAAGAATCTTCGAAAAGAGATGTATTACAAAAAAGTATAGGAGAAAATGGCGATAGATATGACAAGATGATTTGAATTACCCCATTAGGGATAATTCTGATCAGTCAATCAAACCAATCCGGGTAATTCCAATCGCTCCAGCAAAAATAGCTGCGACATTTTTCCCCAATTCATAACTTTTTAAAATTCATTCCCATAAATACCGAAATAAATGTTTTAACATATTTCCCATGACATAGTCCACAGAGGGGTTGCATAATTTTTTAAGGCCCCCCCCCCCCCCCCCCCACTCAAGAAAGTCAATTTTCGTCAGAATTTGTGATATTGAGATAAATGCCAGGGAAGATAGCCCGTCTTCGGATCTTTCAGATATCATGTGATTTTTTTATCGAACGTTCCTATTTTGACTGAAAATTTTGATGATTTCTGTAGTCGGCTGAGTGAAAACCATGATTTTTCCTGGAAAAAAAGGATTTTGAGGTTTTTGCATGGAGAATAACTATTTTAATAAAAACCAGAGATGTTCCAACAAATTTTATTAATCGTTATAGAAAAACCAAAATTCATCAAATAAAAAATGAGATATAAACTAACTGATGGAAAAGAAAAAAAGATTTATTTAAAAATTCATTAACAAAACTATACATACGTAGCGAAAACAAACGGAACACGAATCTTTATATATGCTTTGAGTACGGCTAAACCTCAACTGAGATCAAAACAAGAGCGAAGAGTAATAAGAGAAAGAGCAGTATGGAAAACCATATGATTCAGTATAACCAACATAGATTTTCTCAATCTGCCATTTATGATATTATTTTTGTGAGTCATCCTTCTCTTCAGCTCGCTCATTCGCTTATTCTTTCTTACTATCATATCCACTTTGACAAGCCATGAGTAATACTTTAGTCATCTAAATGTCATGAAATGTTTGTTATGAAGCCCACAGAAGTGGACCAAACATGTGAACTAAAGTCATTTGGATCACTTCATATAGTAGTTATGAGTCAATCAGATGCAAAGTCTACGTATTACAACCGTCCAATATAACTTTTTCTTATCTCTTCAACTCGATAGAGACATATTAGTACAACAAGTTATGTATATTCTAAATACTATTTGTTAACTTCTTGTTTTTCTTTTTTTCTCAGATGAAAGTCTCCAACTAACTTTTATTTATTAAAACTACTGTTGAAGCCCCGAGATCCAAGAGAACACTTTAACTCGATAATATTCGAAATCATTTAAATATTCAAATATTACAGACGAAAATAGTAGATATTTGTACTTCAAATTTGCATGGAATTTCTCTACGTATGATACTCTGTTTTTTTATTTTTTTTAGATATAAAAAACTAATTATTGATAATGATTAAAATATTCAATGTATTATATTAGTGGCGATATTAATTTTTATCATTTGTATTCTGATCAGATTTTAGAATAACTTCCAAATAACAATTATATCGTAAGAAACTATAAATCCACATAGTGATGTACCGTGTGCGTTTTTTTCTTTTTTTATGTGTAACTTTTTTGTATATTTCTAAATTGGACTTTACTTGTTTGCAACAAATCTTACCATTTTTTTCAAATGGTGACACCCAGACCCCCACGTCCGCCCATTCCCACATCCTGTTACATAATATTTCATTTATTATTATCTATAGTGAATGAAAACACTATATTCGAGTAGTTCCATCTTGCCCTCAATATCAGTTATAAATTGTGTGAACATATGAAATTCTTATGTTCTTTATTAAGCTGAAACTTTATGCATATATTGAGGGTGGATAGTGATACATTAAAAATTCTTCATCACTATGGAGAAGAATAATAAACAAGAACATCGTGACAAAAGAAAAGAATAAAATCGAAACTCATCTAGTCTAGCAAAAGAGAGTATAAAAAGAGAAGGTGGCAGTCAATCATCATCACTTGTTATGATTTCTATT